TAATCAACCGTGCTAAAACACGACGAATCGAGTCCTCCCGATATTTATAGCGCCCACTGTCCGACTACTGACCCTTTCACTGTTGGCACGCGGGTTCATACGCGTCAACGTCACTTATCGATTCTGAGACTTATCGTTACGCACAGTCACACAATCCCATTACTCGGCCCGGCCCGAGTAATCTCTCTCTTTCTCCCGGGGAGAAAGAACACGTTTTGCATCGGCTCGGGATCGAGCTCTACTGGCCCCCAAGTAGAACGCGAGGAGAAACGCAAATGCAAAGTAGATATAACGCACGCGTGTCGATAGATATTTTCTGCGGATCGTTCGATTTTATACGCTTGATTCCCCCTCTCCTCGAGTTTTCCGAGTCTCGCGTTTCCATCCATCGTATGCTCGTGATGAGCGTATAATTGGACGTTACGCAACGTTAAATTGCCACGAGCTGCTCGATCAACGTTTATCGACTTCGGTATCGGTTTCGATTAATTATAATTATCACCGTACAGCTTCTTCCCCTTTCTTCCCCAATGAAAACCAGCGTTCCTTGCACGCTCGATGAAAGTTTTCGCGGCGAGGAGTCGCGCCGAGTCAGGAACCGTTACATAATTGAAGAGGCGGCGTAACATTTATGCAATATGAATCGTCGCCTCCGTCCACCAGCCCAGCGCCTTTTCAACCCTCGCTCCTTCGCTGCCCCCTGAACCAAGCTAAGCTCGCTTCCCGATCGCGTGTCTCGCCCCGGAAACAACAGCCTATTCCCCGCCCACGCGTAACCGCAGTCTCATGAAAAACGCAAACCCGCAATCATGGGCCTCGTTTCAATCTCGGCCAACCTGTCGTCGCGATTCCTCCTCGCGATTCCACGCGTGCGTCTCGCCGTCCCCTCCCTTCCCCCCCCCCTCCTCGTTTTGTTTTCGCGAGACCTGAAATCGTACGCTCGTTAAGAGAAAACTCGTGAAGAGAAAGGCGAGAAGAAGAAGAAGAAGAAGAAGAAGAAGAAGAAGAAGAAAGGAAAGAATAAAAGAAAACAGCGAGGTGTTCTGAATGAAACAAACGCGAACCTCGTGTAAATCCGTCCATGTTTGTAGTTCACGCGTTGTACGATCGTCGTGCAACGCCGCGCACATTTTAAACGACAGGATGATTCACGATTTCGAAGATGGTGTTGAAAACGCGTGTAGCCTTAAAATTTACATTGGCGGAGACGCGGAGAGGTCGTGTTAGACGCGTTGCGCGGCGGTGAATCGTCCGTTCTCCGTTCATCGTTCCAACACGGGGAAAACGTGAAAAGTGTAACGGCACGTGACGCACGGAGTCCTCGTCGTCTCTTTGGTCGCCTTTGTGTCCCGGCCAAGCAGCCGCGGATCGCCTGCCTCGCACGTATATTTAGTTTGCCCAGTAAAACAATGCAATTGGCCTCTAGGAAGCGCTGTCCGTTCCACGGGCACTCGCCGTCAAAATACTATCCAATTTTACGATTCTACGAACAATCCCGATTATTTTCACTTCGTCATTTAACCATTTTGACGATCGACTCGAATCGTTAAGCTTCGCTTTCCGTATACTCGCCCCTGTCGTTAAATCGGACACGCGGATTATTCTACGTAGATCGGTCAGAATGTAAGAATTCTATCGAGTTTCCGAGAAATCCACGCACGATACCAAGATATTTTCGTTAATCCACGTTTTCGAATTCGAACGTATACGTACGTGCATTTTCAGTGGGCTTTAATGGGATGGTATTACCGTCGTATTAAATCGTCGAATATTACCTCTTCGATCGAAAACGAATCATCGATATGATAATTATTCGTAATAAAATAAATTGCGTATACGTTTTTGCAGGTTTTTGTAATCGAGCGAAGATTTCATCGTCGATTATATATAGGATGGGATATCGTGGAAAGACTGACACGCCGCCGCGCGTTCGCCGAGCGCGTTTAAAAAGAATTAAGTAGTTACGGACGTGCCAGCTCAGACGGCCGACGATGCACGTCTCGCTAATGTCTGAGTCTGATTGCGGCTAACTACTTGTGCTGTGAAACGGCGACCATCGCGTTATTCCGAAGGTCTATTAACGTAATACATTCTCGTGCCACGTGTCACTGGCTATCCGTAAACCAATCATTTTCCACGGACAAAGTATTCTCGAGGTGGGTATTCTCTTTGTGTCTTGTGAGAAAGAGAAAGAGAAAGAGAAAGAGAGAGAGAGAGAGAGAGAAGGCGGAACAAAAAGGATTCGTCACTTCGATCGATTAGATTTCTCGATCTCGATGCGTTTTACTTTTACTCCCCTCGATTTACAGCCACCTTCATTTTCTTTTTTCTTTTTTTTTTTTCTTTCCATCCGCCCCCGCGAACCTTGCATATACATCGCAATTACATGCCCACGTATAACGGTCAGGCTGACAATCGATCGTCCATCGATATCTCAACGGCGGAGTTTGAAGTCGGTGCCGCGGCACAGGAGAGCAGCATTTAACGCGCGGAAGTCATAAGCGTTGATTTACCATTGTCACGGTCGTTACTCTCGGCGAACCTGACAATCGGTTTTCGCAATTCGACTGCGCAGCCACCGGGCACAACTCGGCACAATGCAACCGAACCAGCGACCGCACCTGCACTCGCGTTCTACGCGCCGGTTATATTTGTTCGTTCGCGTATTCTCTTCTTTCCTGCGCGGACAGGTCTCGTGCGGGCCAAGTATGTACGCGGAAAAGAAACGCCTGCCTTGCACTCGGCCGACTGCCAGACTATATTTACCTTAACGTGCTGATTACACCTGTAAAGTGTCCCATCGAACGCACAAACCTCGCTCCTCGATCGAGCGTCGTGTCCGCACTCGAAATTTCAAAAATCTCCTCGTTGGATCCAAATATTATATTTGCACGGCAAAAAAAAAAAAAGAAAAAGAAAAAGAAAAAAAAAAAAAAGAAAAAAAAACGACGATGATGGTGGTGATTATTTTCGAAATGGAAACCGATGGAAACGATGTACAAAAGTATGTATATATATATATATATATATATATATATATATATATATATAAAGTGAATGAAAGTTGTTGAAACTTTTTCTTCTTAGAAAAGAATCGATCTGAAGTGATTCCGTTGAAGGAAAGTTAACGACCAATAGGCGCGCTGTAACCTCTAGATCCTTTTCGCAGCTCGAATCGATTGGCTGAGAAGAAACGGTTAGAGGGGGTAATTCGTCCCTTCGCTCTATCGTTCGCACCTCATCTCCGTTTCGCTTTCGTTCCTTCGTCTTTAATGCCATCCCCATTAACCTTTTTCGTTTTCCGAACAGCAGCAGTATAGAGCAGTATACACACGCGCGAATTCGTTGCACGTACGCCATTGTATTTAGATCTCCGATCGATTCATCGATCAGGTCTAAAGGTCTCTCCTCGTCGAATCTATCCTTCCCCCGATGGAAAGACGAAAAATCGAATCGAAAAGACGAGTTCGATCGAATCGAGAAAACGCAAACTTGGAACAAAGCAACGCGAACGTCGATTGCTTGCGTGAAAATAAAACGTCGATCCATCTCCTCGATCGATAATCATTGTCAATCATCCAACCGTCACCACCACCATCACCACCACCACCACCTTTTAACCACAACCTGCCAGCCATCAGCGAGCATTGTACAATTTTTTTTTTACACAATGGTTAAACTATAAACAGGACTGTCTCAAGGTCTTTGTTTCACGTTTCTCCCTCCTCTTTTTTTTTTTTTTTTTTTTTTTTTTTTTTTTACTAGATGACTTACACTTGTTCCAGTGATCGTGGCGTTGCGCCGCGTGATGCTCGAAGTTGCGATGATGGTCATGATTGTTGTTGGTGTCCGCCGCAATGGTGACCGGGTGGTACGGTGTAGTGGGTAGATGGATCGTCGTCGATCGATCTCGTTGATCGTGATCGCGATCGTGATTTTGATCGACGACCAGATGCCTGCCGGTGGTAGCACGCTGGTGAGTGGTCGCAGCACCAACTGCGGCTGCTTCCGTGGCTGTATCCTCCACGGTACGCATCGCACGTACGATCAGCAGCACTATGGCGCCTCGTTTTTACCCGTTTCATTCACCAAATCCAGTCGGATATACCGGGAATCCCGTCCCTCGATCCCGTGTCCCTCTCCCTCTTCTTTTCTTTCTCCCTTTTCAAATATTCCCGCCGCGCGGACGACGATCGACCATCTCGACGACCGCGATCATTCTATCTCTCGCACTTTTCTTTATTTTCTTTTTTTTTTACTTTTCTTTGCCTCCTCCTTCCTTCTTTCCTTCCTTCCTTCCTTCCTTCCTTCCTTTCTTTCTTCCTTCCTCGTCACTTCGGATCCTCTCGTTTCTGTATACACGGCTTGCGCAAGCGCGCACGTGCACGATCGGAACGTGGAAAAGCGAGTTGGAAAAGTTACACGTGGTTTCGACGCGACAACAGCTGATCCCGCGCCTCCTCGAAAATACTCGGGCGGGGATAGGGCGGAGAATCGAGCAGATGATGATCCCGATGATATCACATCGATGACGATGGATGATCGAAGCGTGTTATTCTTATTCCATTGGGCGCGATAATCTCGTAAGAAGGATAGATTTCTTCTGAATTACGATTTACGCCTCTCTCGACGCAACAGTCGGAGCAACAGTCGTGAAGCAAAAGCGTACGCGAGAAGCGTGTGTAAAGTGAACGATGTATGTAAAACGATGATGAGCGACGGGGTATGAGAGTGAAAGGGGATAATTCACAGTCGATAATTCTCGTAAGCACGGCTCGTAAGCGCGGTGAATTTATCAGCCAACGTGGAATTCCTCGACTGTATCATTATCTGCGTGGATGAAATCGAGAGGACAAGAGAGAGAGAGAGAGAGAGAGAAAGAGAGAGCGAGAGAACAGGTACTACTGGTCTATAACGTGATCCGTGAATCGAAAGCCGCACACACATAACTCACCCACAACACAATGAAAACAAGTGGATGACACACGTGCATCACCGACCTGTCTGCGTTGTCGTAGGGCTAGACGAATCCTTCCGGAATACGTCTTCGGAGGTCAGCACTCCACCGAGGAGCTCGAACACTTCTCGCATGCAGAATCCTGTTATATTTTTCCCGCGTTCCTTCCAAAATTTATCGCTCCTCCGTCCCAAACGGTGACATCGTTGTCACTGTCAACGTCGTGATGTTCTCCGAAATTCTCGTAAAATTGTTCCAGTCGATCCTGTCGACGAATCCTTTCGGCATCGGCACGCCGTGCACTCTTCCTCTCTTCCTCAAAATAGATCTTCTTACTGGCGAAATCACGGATTCAACGGAGTTGCTGCCGGAGAACGTATCGCGAGGACACACCGAGTCCCGTAACACGCGGAACCACGCGTGTTCGAAACGCGCCAATAATCTCCCTCTCTTTCGTTGGTCACGCGAAACTCAAACACAAACGTCCTTGACTACACCACCTTTTCTTCCTTCCTTCCTTCCTTCCTTCCTTTCTTCCTTCCTTCCTTCCTTTCTTCCTTCCTTTCTTCTCAGGGTACGTAAACCCTGGTTTCCTCGCACTTGACACGCTCTGTCTCACGATTATCCACCGTTCCGTTTGCACACGAAAACTCGATGCACAATCCTTTTTCTCTTTCTTTTTTTTTCTTTTTCTTTTTTTCTTTTTTTTTTCTTAGACACGGATCGAAAGAAATAACACCGCGACGAGTGTTGTACCGGCGTTGATCGCGGTTAAGAACGAAAGAGAAAGGAAGTAGAACTGAGAGAAATAGCGAGGAGACAGAGATAAAGAGAGAGAGAAAGAAAGTGAAAAACAGCGCGGGCACGTTTCGCAAGAAAACGATACGCTCTCGCACGGGTGGCCGGCCGCCGCGTAACTGAGTCTGGATCGCGCGCGTTCCTCCGCTATATTAAAACCGTAGCGTGTATAGCGACGGCGGCGGCGAACGGCGCTAACGATGACGTCACCTTTGGACGTCATAAACACACACACGACAGCAGCCGGCGGATCGATGGACCTGGCTCGAGTGAGCGTCCCTATTGGCCCACGCGGCTGATGATGCCGCTGTAATGACGTCAGCACACCACCTACCGATCACCATCTCCCTCCACCCGGATATCTAACCCCACGCAAGCCAACCCAATCTAACCCGACCCGATCCAACACACTGTTATATACCGGATCATCTTTTCTCTTCCTCTTTTCTTTTGCTCTCTCTCTCTCTCTCTCTCTCTCTCTCTCTCNTCTCTCTCTCTCTCTCTCTCTCTTTCTCCCACTCCCTCCCTCTCTCTCTCTCTCGCTCGCTCTCTCTCTCTCCTTTTCTTTCTTTTTCATCCTTTCGTCGTCCTTCCCTCCTTCCTCCTCCGAAGGAAACACCTCGTTTCCGTTGCACCCTTCGCCCTCGATAGCTCGTTACGTTTCGACACCTTCTACTTCACAGCCGTCGAGTTTATTTCCATCTTCCGTGGCCGTCTCTTTTCCGCGTTTGGCGCTCTCCTGGCCCGTTTCCGTTCATATGTCGAGTTCAGTTAGTGGTCGCGCGCGACGCGTGTCTTGGCACCGACGATCTCGTTTGAATTATCGATGAGACGCGGGTTAAAACGGACCTTGGATACTGACGGATGGAAATGGAACATTGGCAATGTCGTTTATTAACCCTCGAGAAATTATGCGAGCATACGTATAATAAAATACACTCGAAGCGAAGAACGTCGATCGTAATCGTTTAACATCGTTTACATTTAATCGTTTCGATTCGATGATTGTTTGTGTGTAATAAAAATTTGATATATTGGGTTCGAAAAAAAAAAAAAAACAAGAGGAGAGCTCTCGTTAAACTCGTGATGTAATCAGGATATCGAAGAATTTTTTCTCCGTTTAATGCTCGGTCGAGCGGCGCGTGCGTTACAAAATTTTATTCGCTTTTTACAGAATGAAGCAATTCTGCGTAAACAAGGAAATCGATACACGAGTTGCAGTTCGAGTTGCTCGTTTTGTATCAACGCGTTATACACGCGACATACATAGCGAACGATAATTTATACTTTATATAAACATAGTAGGATGGTGAACAAAATGCATAGCGTACTTCCACCACAGGTCGATTAAAAAAAACGAAGGAAGCCCGAGAGAGCTTATCCACAAAGATCGTTCCTCCCTATTTATCGTTCCGTCCAATTTCACCCTTTTGATCTTACTCGGTTAACCGGCAATCGAAAGTGTCGTCGTTAAAGCCTCGATCGATCTCCTCTCTCCTCCTTTATTCGTCGCGATTCACCGCGGATAAATACCGTTATAAATCACCGGGAGAGCGTGAAACGGCCTTTAATTAAGCCGATACGATTCGCAATTATTCACCTCCGCCCGTCAATCCGACGCGGAGGTTTATCCGTCAATGGACCGGGTCACGAGATTGACGCGCAAAAGCGTGATCAAACGAAACGCGGGAATCCTCGACGACTTCCTTTACGACCACGCGGCCGGAAATAATGCCAATTAATGCATCTGATGGAATTCTGGTGGCAAAACTACGTCACAATTCCTCCCTCCCCTCCGCGCATCCGCGTAGTGGATCGTAGTAGACGTAGGGGTGTCGGTGTGAAAACGACTTGGATCAGAGAAGAAGAAGGAGGAGGAAAAGGAGAAGGAGGAGGAAGAGGATAACCGAGGTAAGCGAAATACAGAAGGGGATGAGGAGGGAGGGATGGAAGGAAGAAAGACTACGATTCACCGCCTCGTTCGTCGAGGGATGCCCGCTCTCGTTTCCACTCTCTTCAACTACCGAGACTCCACCACCACCTCTGCAACCTTCATTCATGCATCACTCGAGCTACCCCCCGCAGCTCCCTCCAGTCCTCTGCCGTCTCTCTACCCCCAACCGCGGTGACTGGTGCACGCGTGGCAGAGCGGAGGCGTAAGCACGAGCCGACGTCGCCCCAGTTAATCACCCGTAAGACGAGCTCACTTCGACACGTGACGAAACACCCGGTATCGTGTCGGCCACCTGTGAAACGAGCACTGATCTGGAAGAGGGCGCGAGAGAAGGATAAGGTCGTTCGATCGGTTCGCCGGACGGGGGACCCTTTGGCGAGAATTCAGCCGCGACGAGAGCCGACCACGACGACGATCCTCTACCGAGCTGACCGAGTAAATTCAAGCAATTTCAGCGTGGAGTCGTCGCTTCACGGAGAATATTCACGCTCTCTTTGGGAGGTTGCGTTTAATTAATAAGCGGATAAAACGGCCAAAGATGGATATTATAATCGATCGATTAATATAAGCGGCCGGGTCATGCAAGGTTAAGCACGATTAACGTCCTCGAAACGAAATCTTATCGCCATTGTTTCTTAAAAAGATTCTACGGCTGTTACCTCGATGAAACGAGTTAATCCCTCGTCATCGAGATCAATCGAACGATAAACGCACGTTTATATCCACGGCATAGTATTTTATATTTATACGGCATAGTTGGAAGATGAAGACGTCCGTTCGAGAGCTTAAAGCTTCTTCCACTCGTTACTCGTAAATCGAGCACTGATCTAGGATAGTCCGGGGGAAGGTAAGGTCGTTCGATCGATTCGCAAACCGGAATCTTCCGGTGAGACGTCTCGGCCGAAGGCCGGCGTGACTATCAAGACGAGTTGGTTGCACGAGACAGTATGTTGAACGTTGTGACAAGTTTAGCTTTGCATTAAAAATGAAAGAGAAAAGATACAAGGAGATATAAAAAAAAGTTGTTTGCCTCGGCACGCTCCAGTGGCACAGTGTCGAATTGGGTGATAGATTCAAAATTGTTGAATCTTCAAGGAAATCGGAATGGAACTGCTTCTTGTTCGATTCGACTCATAAATATTTATCGTGCTGGCCACTTTTGATCGTCTGATCCTCTGATTCCTTTCCTAGATTTTAAACGAAACCTATGGAAAAATCGTCCGATTATTTGAAACAATCTAACTAATTTTATCCGTGTATATTTTCTTTCTTAATTGAACAGAAATACGATTTCTTCTGCCGACAGCTTGTTTTCACGATCACTCGGTCAACTCAAATTATTTACTCGTTTTCTTTAATTAGCTCGCCACCGCTTTGTGCCGCCTGCTGAAGATTATTGTACCGTATAACGTTGCTTGGGAGCAGTACGGCGCATAATTTTTTATTAGGTTGTGGGATGACCTTTCTCCCGTATAATGCGCTGTCAGTGGAAAAGCACCGTGGATGCCAGTGAACCTCTCTCTCGTCCCGTCCCTCCCTTATATCGCTTTTCACTCTCAATGTAGACTTCCCGTTACGATGCGGTCTAAGCTCATCGCAGATCGATTAAAAATTTCTTCCCCTGATTCGAATGGCGGTCAGGTTGCATAAAACCTCATGTTATAGACCTTTATTATTCGTCCAACGATTCGAAACGATGCACGTCCTCGATACGATGTATAAATGAGAACGAGACGATCTCGACGATGAACGAGCAGGATAGAACGAGTAGGCTCCTTTTTTTTTTCTTTCTTTCTTTTTTTTTCTTTTTTAGAAAGTCGTCGTATGGTAAACCTCTTCCGATTTTGCTCGAAAAATCAGAAGAAACACGCGCATATCCATACAAATGTTCCGGGATCGGATAATTTGTCTCGAGACGATCGTTTATCACCCCCCTCGTCGAATCAAGGAACGGACGAGATGGTGATTTTAAATTTAATACGTTAGACATTGATTTAATGACGGTGTTTTTCTATAATTGCATCGCATTACGCATGAATTAAGACGCTCGATGTTACGTATTAACCCTTGACTCGGTGGGGTGAAACGGTTATGGTTACGTAACCGGTAGAGGCGGTTTGACCTCAATTAACAAAGTAGATGGAATATATCTTTGCGGGGACACTATCTCGCCTAGGATGTTTCGTATCAAGACGTATAAATCCTCCGGTAATATCAATATTTTATTCCTCTACATTCCCCGCGAATCACGATATAGATCCCTCTATAGAACGTACCCCTGAACTTTTCTGCACTTCACCCGGCAACGAACCAAAGATAAATTGCGCCGAGCTCTAGGAAGACACCTATTATAATCAATCATGCACGTTCTGCAAGAACAACGTGACTCACTTTAACCTGCCGGATTACCAGGTGAGAGATAAATTTCGCCATTAACGCCTCCTCTGTCAACATTTCTGGGGATCGTGCAAGGAACGTGCAAGGAGGTGAACCGGTGCGTTTTTAAGCCCGAATTCGAGAGCGCTCGTTTCGCTCGTTTCGATCCATCGCGGGAATAAAGGATGCGAGCGGATCGCAGAGGCGTGGAAAAAGGAGAAAAAGAAGAGAGAGAGAGAGAGAGAAAAGGAGGAGAAGGAGGAACCGGTTGTCGTTATGGGTTCTCCCGTAGTCAGGAAGACCCTGGGCGAGGGTGAGAGGTTTACATGCTGTATTACGTAATACTGGCCGCGTGTAACGTCGGGTTACAAGACGAAAGTCGAGTGTCGCGCTGTGATATTCGTGCAACGAGAGTTCACGCACGTTTATAACACTATTTATAGAATACGAACGTTCACCTTTTATGTTCACCAAACACCGACGAAGAAGGAAGATCGAGCGGGATGAAAAACGATCGTACTTTCGTTTCGTTTCTAAGGGACATTTTTCAACGCCACGATGCACAGCAGCGATATAATTATTATTTATGCGATGTGTCTGATCAACGAGTGTGCGGGTACGAAATCGTTTCTCGAACCGAGGGGAAATACGAATACTCGAATAGTCGGATAAATTGTGTCGCGATACCGTGTGTTTCTGTTTACTTTTCTATCGCGTCCATCGAGGACAATTACGTAATAGTATGATTTTCCCTAGAGGGGATAGTAAAAAATGCAAGAAATGAGGGGATAGAAATCTCTAGCTTTCGTGTAACAAACGATCTTTACGATTATCTTGCGAAGAATCGTGGATACGATTGGATTAAA